TACTATTTATATTTTATATAAAATACTTAAAAATACTTTTTAAAATACTTTTGACTTTTTATATTATATTAAATTATGTATTGATGTTAATATATAATTCATGTAATATTTAATATGTTTTAATAAATAATATTTATCTATTTTAAAACGTAAACAATTTAAATGTATTGCATATAAAACTAACTATTTATAATTTATTTTATATCATACACTATATTACATTATTAAAATAATTGTTTACATTTCAAATTTAAATGACAAAAATGTAATTTAAATAAATAAATAAATAAATACCTCGAAAGTGATCAGATGTAAAGCCCTTGTGTTCGTACGTCACCAGTTGGCCTTGGAAAACCTTCAGGCTCTCTTCAGCATCCCTCCTCCTCTCTGCAGTTGTTAAACTGATTTGTATGTACTTACAAGGAGCGTGTGAATGTGAGACGACGTTTAAAAACTCAGATAATGACTTTTGCTTAGAGCAGCAGCAGTGATTGCGAGTGTATCTGCTCAAATTACTGGGCTCCTTCCGGCTGCAGGCAGGGCTGGGTCTGTGTCAGATGAATGCACAAAGAAGAAGGCCTATTCATTTTTTGTCTCGCAGTTTATGCGTCCTTGGACCCAACTGTGCATGAAGCTCAAGACCCAGCCCAGTGCTCTCTCTCTTACAGCTGGCTTTGCTTCAGAACTGGCCTCAGATCAGGGATTCAAGCGCTTAGTGCAAGAAAAATAATCACGTATGAAGTCTGAGCGACTTCTATGGATGAAAAAATCAAACTAGTTCTGTCAACCCTAATGTAACGAGATGTCTAGGTTAATAAGCATGAAGACGGGCACGAATCAGCGGGTGAGCGCTTCACAATCAACAAAGGAAATTTCTTGGCAGCTGGAATATGTGCCTGGAGACTCGCGAACTTCCTCTTCTCAGGATTTAAGAATTCTTCCATCAATTTTCCACCCAAATTCAAGGATAGAATTACACCCCTCCCACTCGGGGGCGGAGCTACGCGGGCCGCTCCACCAATAGGAACGTTTCACAGGTCAGTTTTTCTCAAAGGTGGTCACGACTGTCTCCATAGCAACGTAGGGATCGTTCCACAGGTCGTTCACTTTTACAGTTCGGTCCTTCTGTAACGCGAGTGGAGTGAACGATAGCCAGTCCTATTTAGTTGGCCAAATTTGAAGTGGGAGTGTGCCGAGCACACTTGAGCTGACCAAAACAGCTGGAGGAAGAGAGAGAGAGACAGTGAGGGAGGGCAGATTTGGGACGCTCAAAACTGAAAGCAAAGCAGAAACTAGAGCAAGATGGGATTTGACTGGCCGCTTGTGTTTTTGCTGACTCTTTGTAACCGAATATGATTTTATAACTCTTAAAATGACTTTGTAAGTTCGCATGTGGCTGCTGTGGAATATAGACAGCAGAAGGACGAAGGGAGGTAAGATGTTTGAAGAAGATATTTATTGGGTTTTCTTTCTTCTGAATAACGTGCTTTGTCAGATTTACAGCTCTCGTGATCTTCATGAGTTGTTTGTCCAGCTTTCACGGCCACCTGTGTGTGTGTGTGTCATAGCATTCGGATGGTATTTTGTTTTCCTGACCCTTGCGTCTGTTCGCTCTAGAGTTAAATAAATGTCAGATGAGAGAAGTGGTCCCGCGCGAGATGATTGTTTTCGTTCCTGGCCCGACACGGTGACCGCCGTGTGTTTGGGGTCACACTAGCAGCAGATGGGATAAAACATGATGTGAGGCTGCAGAACTGGAGACACTGACCTGAGCTCAAAGTGAGACATCAAGAAAGCATCACGTATGACTTGTAACGTTACTTACTCATGCCTTTGAAATGGTCTCATTTCCTGTAGTTTTCTCATCACCAACAGATTGCGCTGGAATAAAAACAGCACATGGAAAATTGAAAATATTAGTTACAGGCCTGAAAAAGTAATGGAAATTATTAAACTTCTAAAGTCTGGGGTGGGGGGGATTATAGTGAATATTTCTATACACTATTTATTGGTATGTTTAACTCTTATGCTTGATTTAATAGGCTAGAAATCGCTCTGTGAGCATATTTTTATTCATTCACTTAAAATAGTCATGGACCTAATTCATGGAAACTTCTAAAGTAAATATTTCTGCATTCTATTTATTTTTATGCTTGATTCTAGTCTAACAGGCATTTTATTGGCTAGAAATTGTTCTTTGTTGGCATATTTATTTATTAAAAACTAATGGAACAAAATCAGGGATTTTTTTATAGATGGGATTTTTTTATATATCACATGATTTATATATTCTTTTTATAATTATTTTTGATAAGTTACTTGGCTAGAATTTGCTCTTTTGAGCATAATTATTTGATTTATTTATTTTTTAAAATTGAGGAACAGAATCATAGAAAGTTTTAAAGTAAATATTTCTACATGCTATTTACTTTTTATGCTTGACTCTAGTAGGTATTCAATTAGCTTGAATTGCTCTATGTGAGCATAATAATTATAAATATGTATATATATTTATAATATCTAAATAATATTTATTTATTTACATTTTTAAAATCATGACCAGAATGTCCGGGAACCCTTACAAAAATTCATTCTATACCTTTTTGGCCCTCATTAATCCTCATGGAAGATTGGGCCAAGCAATAATAAAAAAATAAAACCATCTCGAGATTAAAAATGTCAAATGTCAATGCGAAAAAAACCAAACTGTTAAATTTCGATTAAGAAAGTCGAAATAAAATGTTGAGAATATGTTGAGTTTATTCTCAACATTTTATTTCAACTTTTTTTCTCGAAAAACCGTGAGTTTAATCTTGCATTATGACTTTAATCTCAAGATTTATTATTTTTTTTATTATTGCTAAGCCCTAATCCTTTTACTCATTGGTTGGTGTTTTTCCAAAACATATATCTTTCTCTCTACCTTTGAAAATTACAAGGTCATCAGTCAAATAGTATATTGTTGTATCTCGTCATTGAACTAGGTTTTGTTATAACTAGCAGCTTGAACTCTTTAATCATATTTGTGAAGGTTGATGTATGAAATATGGCCTTCTTAAAATTTGGGAAATGGTTTGTTAATATTTTAAAAACCTAATAAGTGATTAAAATTGCTTGTATTTTTCAATCTTGTGAGTGTGTTCAGACAGAATAACGTCTGACTGTGTATCCAAGTGTGAAGTACCGGGAGGGTGTCCTAATTAAGAGAGGACCAATTAAATCAAATTAATCTCCCAGAAAAATCACTCGTATGTGAATTTACCTCAGAGAAAACTTGCTTGTCTATCCTGGTCTGTCATATGCTATGTGCACACCATAACCTAACTACACCGCAGTAAGGTTTATTAAATCAAAGTTAAGAGCATTCAGATGTTAGTTTGACTACATTGTGCTTTGTTAAATGATGATTGGAGGTTTAAAAGCAGAATAGTGCTCTTAAGCTGAAAGCTAAAAGGGAGATAATGTGTCACCAAGCCCTACATTATTCTCAGAACAGGTTAGTGTGTTGTATTGGTTCCTGGTGAAACTATTTGTTCTACATCAGTGGCGTTAGTGGTTAGTAGAGCAGATTAAACTTATTTGTTACACTAAAATATTCATTATTACTTTCCCTCAGCCTTGGGAAAATCCAGTTTCAATGCCACAATGACATACTAGCAGTTGTTTGTGACTAAAATATATATATTTTTTATTCTGTGGTCAAGCTATGGCCCAAGCTGTTTGGAAAGAATAAAAAATGCAAAAGTCTTTTTGTCAAAAAAAAAAAAAAAGTGATTTATCAAAAATTCAGTTAAATGAATAATGTGCTTTCCACTGGTCTGCGGACAGTTAAACCTCTGGTTACTAATGGCCTTAAAAAGAGTTTAAAATGTCAAATACAGCATATCATGCAGTAAGTGATACTGGCTAATGAAGGCCTGTTTTCACACAAGTATTTCCCGCAATTCATGTTAAGTGTCACTCAAAAATGCTAAATCTATCACTAAATTCTATGCACTGAAAAACTCTTATTCTTAATAAATATTTTTTTTTATCTTGTCTTTTAATTAAAAATCTGTAAAAATCATAAAAAAGGCCTTGAGAAAAGATTTATTTGAGAAGTGACACTGACTTTTTTTTAGATTTTTTTATGATAAACATGTTAAAACATGTTAAAAGTTTATATTAAATGATAAACATGTTAAAACAAGAGCAAAGAGACCATCTTTGAAAGCAATTTATAAATACAAATACATAACTTAAAGGTTTGTTTTCTTTCAGTCAGAACACTGCAGATTAAAATAAAGTGATTAAAAAGTTTTAAAAAGTGTGAAACAGATCTGCAATTCAGCATTTATCCAATCAATATGCAGTAAGAAAACAATTAACTTGAATTATTAAATATACTTTCTCTGAAAACAAGTCTTAGTATTTTATCCAGTGTTGTACTGATACTTCTTGAGTAGCTGTATATTGTTTAAAAGAAAATACAAAACTGTAGGGCTTTTATTTCATAAACAAAACATTTACTTTAATCATGGTAAAATCATGCGTACTCACAAATTTGTGCGTGAAATCTGCGTACAAGCATTTTCATGAACAAACTATGAATCATCAAAAACTTTTTAAAGGTTGGCTAAAGGAAAGTTTGTGTGGAGAGGGTTTGGGTATGTTGTAGGCAAATTGCTTATTTAGAATATTCCAAATTCATTAAAATTACAATGATGTTAAGAACAAATGTGCATAAGCACGTGTTGTAAATTAGGAGGAATTTTTTTCATGAGAAGTTCTCCTATGTGTATGATTACGAATAATCTACGCAGTTATTAGTGAATGAGACCTAACTTGTTTCTTTCTGTCCCCTCAGCCACCACAATGCTCCACTGACTCTCTGTTTCAACCATGGAGGACGCAGTGACCTCTGAGGATGCTGAACCCCTGCCTGCCACCTCCCAAAACACTGACATCCACCTCGGTGAGCCAGAGGATGAGTGTCCTTCCAGCGCCAGCCTGGAGCCCAGCTCCCCGTCCTCGCCTTTCAATCAGCAAGCTCAAGGCTCTGCCGTATCGGCGCTGCAGTCCAAGGTCAAGGCTCTCTCTGAACGCAGAGTTGTCTGGAAAGAACCTGGAAGTAAGAACCAGGACAAACTAGTGGTTCCCGGGACCTTCATACTGGGATACGCCCTCACGGACGCTTGGGGCTCCAGCAGCAGCGATGAAGACGGGGAACCTCGCAAGCCCCTGATGTTCCTTGCAGGAGACCACAAGCCCCAGGTTGAACTCGACTACGATCCCGTCTCTTCCGAAGCCTTGCTGGCAGTTCCACGCGGCCTTGGAGAAGGAGCAAGCCTGGAGAACCTCTCGAACGATGCTTGCGGTTCTCAAGATGATGCTTCTCCATCTAATAAACCATGGATGCCACCGAAGTGTTTCTGGAGGTCCATCAGACCAGAGATGCCGGTTCTAAATGGGAACGTTCCTGTGGGGAAAGATGGACCAAATGGAGGAACCTTTGGCCACAAAATGGGCCACAAGTTTCCAAGGGAACTGCAAAGGTCTGATAGCCTGGAGAGTCACCTACGCAGGTACAATCACGGTGAGGTGGGACAATGTGGACTCTGGCGGGCTGACAGCTTGGAGAGCATGTGCAGCAGTGGAAGCTCGCTGTCCCTGGCCGAGAGGGTCGAGATGAACCGCGGCCTCCTCAAACAGATGCTGCAGAAAACCCAGAACAAAGACCATGTACCAGGACAGAGGATAGAGGACCCGACGCACATTAGCGGTAGAGGTAAGGAGATCCATTACAGTGGGTAAATGACATGACACTCGTTATTTTTTTTTGGAACTCTTGCTTTTTTCAAAAATAAAAAATTCTAGGGTGGTATGACTGTTCTGATATAACAATGAATAAAAAGCCTATGAAAAAAACAAAAACTATGAAATTATTATATAAGTAATAAATATTACTAATATTAATTAAATATAAGTAATTATTATTATTAATTAATTTTTATATTATTAAACACTTTTACTAAATCACTTTTTAATCACTTTCATATTACACTTTCATAATCATATTAATCACATTTTGTTCTTTTATTTTTACAAAACCGATTAACTCTCATTACTCAATAATGGTAATTGAAAAATGTTTGCTCGCCAAATCAAAGTCGTGCAGAAAAAACAAAGCATAAAACAGGAAGCGACATCATAGAGGACCCCTGCAGAGCCTCGTGACTGTGTAAACTATTAAATTTGACCTTTTTATTTTTACAGTTAGTCCAGGTTGTAGAATGTCATGTGGTGCGACTCCCCAAAAAACTTAATGATATATCAGTTAATAATTAACAATGTTTGTAAAAAATAAATAAATAAATAAATTTTATCTTGAAAAGATATAATTTAAATTTATAATTTAATATTATTTAATATTATTATTTTTACAACAAAAAGATGTGTATGTTATTAATTGTTATTAGATATTGACACCACATGACAGTTTTAAAGTAATTAAATAGAAACCTCTCTTGAAAATAGTCTATAAATGTTTTTCAAAATCATATGTAAACATGAATACAAAAATACTTTTTACTTTTACATTTTTTTAAATAATTTATAAAAAAATAATAATTAAGGTTTGTATGTTTTTAATTGTTACTAGATGGTGACACCACATGGCATGTTTAGAATAATTAAACTGATCTTCTTTTGAAAATGCTATAAAAAAAATTCTTATTAAAAAATATATTGATTAAAAGAATATATAATAATATATTAAAAATCATATTAAAAAACAAACACATTTTTAAGAACCTTTAAGAACCATGTTATCAGACAGGTGTTAAATGCCGTTAGCGCATGTCTGATGAGATGATATTGTCTCCTTTAGCAAGTTTAAGGATTACACACAATGATCGCACATGGCCTCCCTAATGAAGCAGAGGTCATACAGCGAGAGAGCTGGATAATCCAGATATGAGGGGACAGAAGGATAAGAATGAGAATTACACTGATTAAAAACAACTCAGAGTAACAGTGATAAAGCCTGTGAGATGGGAAAACGGAGACGGTGTGACTTGTTCGCTTGTTTTTTCTCACTTTTGAAGCACCAGATGTTGACACAAACATGATGACCTTGTCACATCAAGTGAGATAAACAACTGGCTTTTAGTTGTCAGGCAAACACAGTTCACTCCACTTGAAGTAGATGCTGCAGTAGTGAAACTGTGGATGGCGTAGAGTATTGGTCATGGTGGTCAAAGCAGGGAAAAATGCATAAAAAAAATTAAAATTAGTATATTTTATTTATTTATTTTATATATATTTAATATTAAGTCATTATTAATTAGGGAGGTCATAACCCTTGTAATCTACACCCTGAGTGTCTCTGTTTCTACAGGTATCTGTGGCCTGAATGACAGTGATTGGGATTCTGGGATTTCGCTCCAAGGTAGTGAACACAGCCAAAGGTGGGCAGCACAGATTGATGCTCTCACAATTATCTCTCACACACACACACACACACACACACCATGTATATTTAGCTTCTCACAGTGCTGATTAGAGATTTATTGTTTTAGCTTTCAGGGACTCTCAAAAGTAGTGCTTAATCATATCTAAATGTTGAACATACACAAAGTGGAACGTGAGCTCAAGAGAAAACAGCTGCTGATGCTTTTCATAAGCTAAGGAACGAGATCATATCATTGGCTCTTCCTGCCTCTCCTTTAAACTCCACCTAAGAGTTGTATAACAAAGGAAATAGCTGAGCTATTTTCTCCAAACTAATAAAGATGCCACAAATTCTTAAAAATAAAAAAAAACAGGTCATTGCCAGGAAATTAGTGCCTGAACATTTCAGGAACATTATTTATTTAAAAATCAGATCACTGTCATTATGAGAAACTTAAGAAACTATTTGGTCAAAAGACTTTGAATGTGCTCATGTGGTTATGTTAGAATGATTATTAATACATAACAGTGTCACAAGATAATAGTGTTGAAAACAAATTTTCAGCATTATTGGAAAAAACATTAATGTAATCATGATATTTGAACTTTAATAAAAGCTAAATTTATGTAGAATTTTTTGTTTTATTTTTTAAATTATTATTTTTTTAACATTATACACTAAACAGAGCTGAAGTTATTCAATAATGAGTGTTAAAAATCCTTTGAAAAATGAAAAAATAAATAAATTACTTAATAAACAAACATATACACAAAAATGTTTTTTGCTTGGATGAAAAAAAATAAAGGAGTGAATTAGTGACTGACAGATAAACATTATTTTTAAATGTATTATTATTATTTACATTGCACACTAAACAGAGTTGAAGTTATTAAATAATGAGAGTTAAATTTCTTTTTAATGATATCAGTAGAAAGTAGTAAATAACTAGTGTATCCATATTTTTGCTTGGATTTAAAAAAATTATTTATAAGCAACAGAGTAAATCTTGGCTAATAATTTGAAAAAAACAAACACATTTTTTTAAAGGGGTCATATGATGCGATTTCAAGTTTTCCTTTCTCTTTGGAGTGTTACAAGCTCTTGGTGCATAAAGAAGATCTGTAAAGTTGCAAAGACTAAAGTCTCAAAACCAAAGAGATATTCTTTATAAAAGTTAAGAGTCAGCCACGCCTACCTAAAACGCCTCGTTCTAACACGCCCCCACATGTGTACGTCACAATGTGGAAATATTAGCATAATGCCGTCCAAATGTGCACGCAAAGAAAGAAGGCGTGGTTTCAGGAACAGCAGTAGTGTTGATGCAGCCATGTCGGAGACATTGTGTGTTTCAGTGCGAAAGCGAAAGCACTTTATTTGGCCTTCCAGAA